TCCTGCTACACTGCCTTTCTGCATAATACTGATGGTTTCTATAGCCGTGGCATCATAATGACGGTGTTAAGAGGTGGTTTGATTCTGGCAGGGCGCCAATGAAGGCCTCGGGGTAAGATACCAGCCCGCCACTGCAATCTATAGTTCCTTCAGAGTAAAGTCTCTCTCTGAAACCAATTAAAGCAAATAGGTGACATATTAAGAGATAAACTAAGTTTGATATCATGATCAACAGTTCGGAGTGGCAAAAGTACTACAGTCTTGTATGACCTTTTATTTAAAACACACACACACACACACACACACACACATCAAGCACAAATCAAACTCTTGCCTTCTACAATATCATTTTACTGTATAAATGTAGGTAAAGCAGTCCAGTGATTCCCAACCTACATGTTAAATATAAATAACTATGAAGCTGTCGGACAAGCTAACGGAATGAAAAGGCACAATAGTTACCTCAGAAAAGACATGAAGCGTAATTAGTAAGTAGAGTATAATTACCCATTACCTCATACCTTTGAAGTTTTGCTTTGTACGAGTGAGTCACACTCGTTTTTTTAAATTTTATTTTTATTAATTACCAGAAAAACAACTCTTCAAATTGAAAAGAAATCCCTACAAAGTGCATTCACATGCATTCATAACGTCACTATCCATTGTGTCAGTCAGTGTAGGCATCTTTGCAACAAACCAGTACTGACTTGGTGGAAATATCTTTAGCGGTCTCACACATCTGACTGCTGCAATTTCCTCCTATTCTTTGTTGCTTGAGCTCATAATTCACCAAAAAAATTCTGAACCAGCTACTTCTGACAAGTCTGCCGCAGTTTTTCCTCCAGAGCTTTCTCTGCGTTTTTTTGTTTTTTTTTTAAACTGCATTTATTTTCTGTCTACCTTTACAAACCTTCCAAGGCCAGCTCTGTGCTTCATGTTAAGTGTTTCTGCTGCTCTGTGGTGTTTGGTTTGGCTGATGCAACAAACAGCGTTTCATTTGATATTCAGAAAGCTTGTAGATTTTTTTTTTTTTTTTTCTCTTCTCAGAACCTTCGTTTATTTGTTTCACAGTCTCGAGCCTCCTGGCAAACACTAGCATGTGAGTATTTTAGAAGTAAACTCTTTGACACTTTATGGTAATGTTTTAACTGGGAAAGCAACTGTTTGTTGTATGCACAAGGTCTCCTATCGCAGCTGCTGAACTCTGACAATAAAGAGGCAGATTTCTGTTGAACAGTGTCAAAAAACATTAAATAACCTTTGCAATAGAAAGTTGTAAAACAAAAAGAAATCATGAAAAGATCCAACATTTTGTACTGGCAGCTGTAGTTGTGTGGTCTCCTACAGAGCAGGTCTATTTTTTGTGTATTTTTCTATCAATACATTAGTTGCTCAAAGGGCGCAGGGTGGAGCTGCTGTAGCAACACAAGTTTCCTGCTATAAAGTGCAGATAACGCTGACTATTAAACTTTGTTAAAGATAAACTTACCGATGACCTCCAATTTAAAGAATGAACGCTTCAATTCTTTATTCTTGTATGCTTCCAGTACATACGCGCCGCTGTCTTCATAGCTGAGGTCTGAGATGCTGAGTGCTGCCGAATGCCAGTCAAGAGTGATCCTGTTTTGGAATGTGCCGTACACGTTTTGCTCGTTGCCGTTGAAATCTACCACTTTGTTTCCTTTGTGTTTCCACAGAATGTCATCCGGGGCCTCTGGTATTACTGGGTCCAAGGTGAATGACTGTCCCCGAAGTGCATATTGTGTAGACTGTCCAGCAACTAGAAACAGAGAAGAGAGAAGTAAAGAAACGTGAGATAATATGATAAAGATTTTAGCATATTGTGGTGCAGTGTTGGGTGGGGTGACAGCTCAATACCCACACCAAGCTGCCATTTCAACAGTGTAGCTACTAAAATCTAATATAAGCTAGTACAAATATAGATGGAATGAATCCTTTCTGAGGGATGCTGATTGCACTGAATCAAATACATCTAGGGCTATTTTGAGCCTGTAATTAGTAATAGTGGCATACTGTCCTGCAATATAAATAAGGTCCTAGCACCCACCAATGTGTTAATGGAGACTGGTAAATCACATGAAACTAGAAAAGCACTTGCCGTCCACCATATTGTGATTTCCAGGCAATGTTGAAGTCCTGTTTTCATTATATCTGCACTATTAGATTCATGGAGAATCAAAACATACCTTTAGCATTTGAATTAACATGACTTGATGTTATTAATAACAAGCTGACGGAGTGATGAACGGTCGGTCTGTACTCTCAAATATTTTGTACGCATACATTAGTTCTGCAGTTATTTACTGGCTTTTAAGCTGTTAGCTAACGCTATGCTAGGTTGGCATAACTACAGCCATGTTATTGCTAATATAAACAGACAGGGAGCAACTTGAGCTAGGTTAGCACAACTTTAGCAATGCAACCTAAATGGAAAGCATGAACAATGCAACGAAGCACGCGTCAGTCGTCATGACACATGGCAAAGAGAGTTAAAGTGAAACAGGAGACATATTGAGTCATTGTTAACATCACAACGTTGTTATAAACTTATGTGTCAGTAGCTCCGCTCAGCCCACTCCTTAGGTGTTGCCTGGCTGTAGCTTTCTCCTGTACTGCTGAGAAGACAGCGGTGAGGACTGAAGGATTGAATGGAGTCAGAGCTCCACCCAGTCGACAAACGGCGCAACGACAGCATTGTGTGCGACTGTGACACTTAACAGCATTTTACTGTTTTATGAGAAAATAACCAGATGGTAAGCCAGACCATCACCAAAATTTAATAAACTGTTCATTGTGCCATTATCAACATTTCCTGAAAAAATCATGAAAATCCGTTCAGAACTTTTCGAGTTATCTTGCTAACAAACAACCAAACAAACAGATTAATTTTTTATGTATTTGTAATGTTTTGTAAATTGCAGTTTATATTTTTACCCTGGGGCGCCAGGAAGACTAGCAACCACTTTGTGGGAGCTAATGGGGATCCTAATAAAGAATAATCAAAATAGTTGGTGATCAATTTAGTAGTTGATAATTAGTTGGTTAACTGTTGCAGCTCCAGTACAATCTTAAATGACTATGTGAAAGAAAACAAAAGGGGGAAAAAAAAATGCAAAAATGGTTTCACTCACAAGAAGAAACATTAAACTTTTAGACAAACAAAACTTTGCAATGACAACAAACACAAAGTTCCATGTATTTGCACATTTGGACAGTTTTAATCAGATTAAATCAGGTGTGGACGTATAAAATCAGACCTTTTTTAATTTATCAGACCTGAGGGGCTGTACTACGAAGCACGATTAGTGGGTTATCGAGGTATGTTGAGCCTAAAGTCAGAGTTTTCAGTGTCACGAAGGGGGCTTTCTTTTTATCTGGCTAGATTTCCATGGTAGCTGATACTGTAGAGCTAGATCTCCATGGAAACTGATGCTGTGGAGCTAACCTGGTCGGGAGCAGGTTATGTTCAGAGTTTTGGATTTAAATCGGCTGGAAGACACGTCTCCCTTTAACCAAATTGTTTCCTAACTATTATTTATGTGAATATGTAATTTAATGTATATTTTATCTGCAAGCATGCTGCGTTGTGTGCTACAAATATCACTGAATGAAGCCGTGTAGTTACAGTATGGCACCACTGATTATATTGCATTGCCATGGGAACCCGACATGTATTTAGTTGGGGATGCAGAAATCCCATAAATATGTTTTTATGTTTGGCTCTGATTTGCTGTCAAATCCGTTTACACTGCTGGTACTGCAGCTGATAGAACACAGACTGGAAAATGGATTACTCTACTGGTATTTATTACATAGAATATTCAATCAATAACATTATATTCGCTTTGATTGACCAAAAATTAAAGTGACATCCTGCATGATGGGACAGTGTCACACCTAAATGATCTTCAAAACAAGATCATGTTTAAATACATGAAATTTAAAGTTACACTTTAACGTGCAGCGGTCAGTTGGAAATAAGCAGCTGCATCAGTAAAAATATTATATATTAACACGTTTAACAGTTTTCTGCTAGAATTTCTGTCTTGCATCATTTGCAAAAGGGGCGCTTCTTTTTAATTTTTTTTTAAATATTTCTCATTGTTCTTCATTATAACAACGTATTGACTGAAGCAGCTGCACGCGATCATTTAATTTTGTGCAGAAGAAGAGTCACGTGACGCGTTAAACACCCCTTTTTAAGTGAACGCGCACAGAGTTTGAAGCAGAAAGCTAATACCCACCCTCGTCGTGACACCCCTAATCTATGGCTGGGGGGTTAGTTTTTGTCGAGCCGGCTTACACAAAGACAGCCTGGCTATGTCAAACTTGCTTCGTAGTATACCCCTCTGTCCGAAACTGTGAGGAAACGGGACCCTCTGTTCAGTCGGTTCCGTGTCCTCACAAAAAATACTGAACTTAAAAGCAGAGAAACTCACCTAGACAGGAGGTGAAGACACAACAGAGTATGTAAAGTCGATGAATCATTTCGAAAACGTCGATAAATCACAGTCAGCCGCCGCCGCCTCGGGCCTCCTTTACTTTCACTTTTGCTGTCACAGGTGCAACAGGTAAACTGTTGTCATCACGGACAAAGTCGACCAAGAAGTTTTGTTGTTTTTCCTCCGAACACGTCCGAACTGACTAAACTTTTATTACTACCTGGACGTTGGAACTGGAAACCCACGAAGAGTTAAAGTGCAGCGGTCCAACGACGACAGGTGAAAGTATTCGGACAAAATGGCCAGAAGTTACCTGTAGCCTTGTTTTTCTTCTGCAGTTATTAGCAAACAGCGAATTGCGCGTGTCCGCCACCTACTGGCTAGGAGTGCGTATTACAGTCTCTTTTGCGAAATTGCCTCAAACGTATTCACACGCCTCCATTAAAGAAAAGGCAAAATTCACAATAGTCACTCAAATAACTAGAAACTGAAAAAAGTAATAATACATAAAAATGTACTAAATTATAATTTGGTGAAATAAGACATTGCTTTTGAATTGTGGTTGAAAAGAATAATGTAAAAAAAAAAAAAAAACTGTCGAACAAATTAGAGCACTTTGCTGATGAGCAGTAGGCCAAAATCAAAACACCTGTCAACAGGTGCAGAAGTCTGATTGAGAGTTACAGAAAACACTTGATTGCAGTGATTGGCTCAAAGGGTTGTTCAACAAAATATTAGTTTACGGGTCCCATCATGCTTGTTTTGTTTGTTTGTTTGTTTGTTTGTTTGTTTTTTAATATTTCTGTTGAGTCGTAATTTAAAAGCAATGTCATGATTTTTATTACATTTTGATTTATTATTATTTTTGTCAGTTTCAACTTGCAATGACAGCTGTTTTTTTTTTTTTCCTTTTTTAATGGGAGGGTATGAATACATTTGAGGATGACCTTAGTAGTAATAAATCAAGACTAAGACATTGACTTCTATAAGATACTGAAATATTATTTGATAGCACTCACTTCTTGAGTTTCTCTGTGTAATGTCTATAATTCTTATTATTGTTTATTAAACTAGTATTATATAATATACAATCTAACATACACTACAAAATTCAATATGTTTTATAAACTAGTTACCAATGCGCTTTGTGTTTATCTATTATTGCACTAAAACACTGATCAATTTCATTGCAAATAACAATGAAGGAATTTTAATGTGAAGTTTTACTTTTATTTGTCTGGATCGGCTGTCTTCTTTCTGCCTCGTATTTCTAACAGCACATCAAAACATGCTCTACTGTCTCTTCCTCCCCACAGTAGTTATATATGCCTTTTGTGTTTTCCTGTTTTGAACAGTGCGCTGTTTAGTCCTGTGTTTCCAAATCTCAGTTCTGATATTATTATCTTGTCTGTTCATTTCCTCTCTTCCTCTCGTTGCTTTTGCCACCTTCCTATCAGTCTCTGCCGGATGATGCTTCTGATTTCTGCCCTGCTGATGTTAACTTTCAAGTCTGTGTGAGTACTTTTTGTGGCTTCCTCTTGTTTGCCATTTCATTTCCTTTGATGTACGGGTACCCATAAAAATGTAACTGTTAATCCTGTTCTTTGAATTCTGTCCACCGATTGCTGTATTTCTGTCAGGATGTCTGGTCTGTTGTCTGATAAACTGTTGTTCTCAGTGGTCTTGTGTCCTCTATCCACTTGTTTCCAAGACTCTTAGATGAACTAACTGCACGTTAATGTATGCCTGTACAGGTTGTGAATTATAAATAAGCTCCTTGTCATTTTTCTTCTTTTCCAATATTGTTAAGTCTACTGTGCATCTATGATTGAATTGCTGGCGGTGGGCTGATGTTAAACCAATTTCTGTGTAGTCGTCAACTAGTTAACTTTAGCTTTTTAACTATCTATAACCCTTTTCTGATGTAAGATATGAAAATATATCAAATGCACAATTTTTAACTGAGAGTATCATTTATATAATATGGTGTATTGACTACATGATGCATAGAATTCAAGCAATATCAGGAAATATAATGAAGTTCAGCCACCAATAAAACCAATAACTGGTGGTTGGCTTTACTCATCAAATATAATTTGTTTGAATAAAACAAAACTCTTACTTTCACCGCGTGGAGGCGGTGTTACAGGAAACAGACTTCTGCTTTTTAAAAAATGTCACAAGTTGTTTGACAGTGTTTTTATTCATTATGTGTACACTGAAATCATTAAAAAATCATTTCATTCTGTGAACAACATTATAGCCTTATTTGATTTTTTTAATAGTTTATATTTATCAGTTTAGACTTTACATGGCAAGAATTTACACGTTAATTAAATTGTAATAAAGTGCTTATCTGGTGCACCTGCAGCAGATTTTTTTTTTTAAATTCATATTAAATGAAAGGTTAAACTGTTGCTGCTGTATGATGACATTACACTGCTGAACTCATTTTGATTCAGGTTTATTTATTTAAATTATTGTGGCATAACTGTTTGACTGTGGTATTGTAAGTTAAGAACGTGAAGTTATCCACTAAAGCAAAATGGAAAGAAAGAAAAAACAATTTATGCATTTTTTCCAAAATATAAAGCACAACCCCAGATAAAAATAAAGTTTTCAAAAGTTCCTTACATTTGCTCCTTACAAAGAGCATTATGATGTGTGCAAATACATTTTACTTCTCTTTTAACATATCTTCACTTTCCGTGCCTCATTCTCAGCAACAGTGAAGTCCTTTTCCAGAAAGCCTGTGTCACTGGCCCTCTGGTGGGGGTGCTATTTTGTGTATGTGTGTGTAGGACTTCATGAGTGTCACGCTGCCGTGGTGCGACACTCCCATCGGCAAAACACACTCTTCTGTCAACACCCCTCTGTCAACGTCCCAGCACATCACTGTGGAAATGACTTGGTTCTTGTTATCTCTTCCTCCAGTGATGAAAAGTTTGTTGTTACAGGCGGCGATGGCGCAACTTGCCCTTTCCCCCAGACGGGTCACAAGGGTCCAGGAGTCTGACAGAGGAGAGTAGCAGTACATGGCATGCATGGCACCGCCTGCAACCACAAAGAAAATTGGACAGTAGCCATATTAATATATAATACAGCAGCATCCACTTTCACTCAGTCCACCAGACTCTAAAAAAAAAAAAAAAACCCTAAAGAAGTTTTCAGTTGCTGCTCATTCAGATGTTAATTTTAATACTAGTGATTTTTTTTAAAAAAGATCATATTGACACTACTTTTTAAACATGGTAATTGTCTCATTTTTTAATTAAAATCTTTATATATATTAGGGAAAACCACAAACTTACAGCAGTTGAGTATTCGGATCATTGTATTGAAATAAAACTGGCAATACTGCAACATTACAAGTAAAATTATGGCTGTTTGCAGAAAAATGCACATGCAAAAAAAGTACTCAGGATGGCGAAAAATGCCCCAGGAGAATGGTTTACATCAGTAAATGTACTCAGTTACAATCAATCATTGCTGACTTACCAACAATATAGATGCAATTTTTGAAGGTAACAGCATTTGTGCATTTGGTTTCAATGGGAATGGGCGCCCGCAGTTGCCAGCAATCTGTTCCTGGTTCCCAGCATTGAACCTTGTCGGTGGCCAGCTTTCCATTTGGCCCACCACCAATCACATAGATCCATCTGTCAAAGCTTGCAGCAGCAAAGGAGCTCACACCTATTGCAAGAGGTGTCACCTACAGAAAAAGGGAATCTAAATAAAGACACTTGACGCAAAATAGTAGAGGAGCAAACCACTAAATTAAAATAGTGAACTGAAAGATGCTAGTGCTAACCAACACCTTTCATATTCACACAGTCATAGTTTATATAAGAATACAGACACTTTGTAGAACCTTTGGTGTAACTGTGTAGAATTGCGTTTACCTGCATCCAGCGATTGTGAAAAGGATCATAGGCCTCAACGCTAGTGAGTCTCTGAACTCCATCAAATCCACCCAGTGCGTACACTTTCCCGCCATGAACTGCCATTTTGTGTCTCCAGCGCCCAGTTGACAGAGGTTCAGTTTGTATCCACTTGTCCAGGGCGCCATTATACTTCCAAACGTCATGCTGTGTCTCTTTACCTCCTACAGAAACAAAGAGCATTAACAAAGCAGTCACCTGCTGTGCGGACTAGCTTTCATTGCAGAGCGCTGATGTGTCACCATTTAACAATGACTGTGTTGGTGCTTTACACTGCAGGCCACACATTTTCTGATGAAGGATTTAAAATCCCACGGCCTACTGTCAGTTTTCACAGTGTACATGTTCCTGAGCAGTAATGTAACCAGAGCTGAGATGTCAGTTAGTGCGTTGGGAAACACCTAAAACCACAGCCCACAATTGGTGCAGATGACGTCACACCTTCCTGTTGTTTTGCTCAGTTGCATACTTTCAGAATCACAAATTAAAACTTTACAGTTGAATGGCAGAGAAGCCCTAAAACACATAACCTATCCACAAGACCAAGATTGAAAAAGAGAGCATATAGAAACCATAACTTGGCAGATGTGTGATCACGTGTCGTGAACAATTTCACTTTCGCAATTCAGAGAAGTAGCTGCACAAAACACAAATTTGTTCTCTCACCAGATATATACACTTCATTGTGGAAGGTGATGCAAGCGAATTCCACCCATTTTCTGTTTTGCGATTCATCCTCTGTCTCTGTCATCGGCAGCCTGGCGACCTCCAGGCGGCTCCGTCTGAGAGGGTCCAAACAGGTGACAGTGGAAACGAAGCGCTCATCTTTAGTGCAGCCTCCTATGATCAGGAAGACCTCCGACAGAAAGTGCTGCACACGTGGTTTGGTCCGTTCAGAGACCACCTATGAACAGGGCAACCACAGCGAATTAAAGTATTCAATATCTAAAATACATGTTTTTAATTAAAAAAAAAAATACAACCTCATAAAATGGCTACGAGTACAACACTAAAACACAATATGTAAGATGTCCACCAGTGGACCTCCCCTGTGTACTGACCTCCCTGCCAGAGAGGTAGAAGGTGCGGGCCTCTTGCAACAAGGGAAAAGCTTCGCTGCAGCGGCGTATCAGCTCATCCGACTCCACTTTTTCCACAAAGTATGCTGGCTCCAGCAACGGCAGTCGCACATGCGAAAGCAACCTGGCCAGTAGTGGATATCGTTCATCCTGCTGGGCTCTAACCCAGCGCATGAGTGCTTCAAAGACACACTCCTCACACTTGACATCAAGGTCGTCTCTCTGCAGGACAATCTCCAGAGACTCGGCCGGCAGCTCCAGGAAGTCCTGCTGCTGGACCACCTGGGAGAACTGAGTGGTGATGTAGTCCTGAGCCCTGGTCCTCAAGGCTGGCAGGGCGTGACTGTCAGCCAGAGTCAGGATCCCAACGCAGGTCTCTAGATGCATGGACTTGCTCAGAAAGCCGGCACATGCATCTACCACACGGAGGAACTAAAAAAAAATAGACATGCACCTTAATTTACCTTTTACCTGATAAAGATATTTGAAACTGATGAGTTGCACTAAAGTTTTAACAAAACCAAAACTGTCCAGAGACCATTGCATCCATAATGGCTGTGATGGGCATAAAATCTACGCCCCACTTTTTCAACAACAAAAAATACCTTCAAAAGTTCCGATGAAGCTGGTATCTAAAAACGTATTCAAATAATTAGATACACGGAATCTTAAGAAGTCCCTGTTAATCAAACCAAACTCTTTCACTTCACTTCTGGGCAAAAAAAAAAATTCTGTGGACAGAAAAGGGGGATTTTGTACTATAAAAGGATGCAATGTTGGTAAACACCCACATGAATGGAGTCTCGCTTCATACACAAGTTTGAAAATCCCTTTCCCACGTCAGCCTCTATAAAGCAGAGAAATCTGTTCGTACAGGTGCTTGGCTATCACTTTGAGGGAACCTTCAAAAGAAATGTGATATTATCCCTCAGCCATAGTCATCCACATCACATACCTAACCTCACACTGTACCTCAAATCTTAATTTGATCCAAGTGTTAACCTCAACCTTTAGTTACTAATACTAAAACACTCTATGAATGAAGAACCAACCAGAACACCTAAGCTTGTTATCTGCAAAATCTCACACTTAAATAGTATTTTTGCAAAAATAGAAGCATAGTAACACAAACACCTGCCTCCTCTGTTGTGCGGCACAGCTGTGTAGTTAATTTAAGACTGTATGGAAAACTGATCCTGAGTGTAAACAACTGGCCAACTTTCACTTCTCTCTTAAGCTGACTAATTTCTTACCCAATAAGATGCTTGTTCCCCTGATCAGGGGGAGAGCCGTCTGTGGCAAGACCATAAGAAGAATAACAGTCACAACTTGAAGATTTTAACTCCTCTTCTGCATTACAGGACATTTACAGAATCTGTCTACTGAATGAAAATAAATAAATATGCTCTTTTCTATTTTTTATTCTGTTTGCTGTTCATCCAGTCCTGTTGGGCCTTTTATGTGTGCCAACTAACTTGACATGCCGTAATTTCAAATGTAATTAATATCAAGTAAATCATACAAACTGTTGCTGTTTGGTTTCAACTCCATTCTGGTGATTGGAGTTTTTACTTTCATAGAAGAATCTCATGACCGTTCGTTTGACCACTCTGACAAGGAACTGGAACTTTTCGTAAATCTTGTCGTGAAGAAACCCATTCAACTCATTTAACCCAACATTTCTTTAATAGATCATTTATGCCTTGAAGATATTTGACTTATATACAGTTTTTGGGTTTAAATTAGGCCTCTGAGGTCTGTGACTTTAAGTGAAATACATATTAATGTCAAATCATTGATTTTGTTGGCGATTACAGTCCCAATTAACTCTTTGTCTTTACTTGTAATCAGTTTGTTGTGCTAAAAGTTTACAACTAGTGCCTATAAGGTACTCATGATTGACAAAAAACTTTATGTGCTGTAGGTGCTGGATGTAAAAAAAAATAAAAAATCAAGTATGTTTTGGAAGTTTTGTGTCAGTTAAGTTACTTTACCTGAAACTGACTGGCGGCCTCGAGTATTCTCTGGACATTTGAGTGTGTGAGGAGGACTCGGCTGGTGTAGGTATACTCCAGGAGAGAGCGCATTGTCCCGCTGTCCAGCCCTTTAATTTCCACTCGCTCCTCATGACTCTCCTTGAGACCACTGCAAAACATTGCCCTGTACAGAAAAGCCCAGACTCAATAAAAGCAGCAGTCCCATCCCAACAGAGCTACACAATGTTACATCGTTTTTACCTGAAGTACTGACTGGCAGCGGCGAGAATGGCTCTGTGACAATGGAAGTCGTGTCCCTGAACACACAGTGTCACATCAGTCAGTTCTCTGTTCACTCGTAGGGTCTCCATCCCTCTCTGCAGCTCCACAGGCAGACCTCCATCTTCCCAACGTAATTCACTCGCAACTGCTACGATCCCCTTCTCCTCGTTCACACTGGACCCATCTCCAAGTAGTGACAGGGGACAGTCTGTGGTCCTCTCCAGCGAGTCACTCATCTTTGACAGCAAAAGCTCTTTACAAGCTCAGTTTCCTGCCGACGAACAGCGTGCAGCTGCTTCAGAAGCACCTGCGCTGCTAGAAAAGAAAGAAAATGAACCCTTGTGGTTTTTGCTTGCAACAGTTCTGTTGCTTTGAGATGTGGATTTGTTTTTTTTTTCCTGTCCTCTTCATACTTCCTATTCCTGCTCTGTGAGGAACATGCGTATATAGCAACGCTCGTCTCTGAACACTTCCTCTTCTTGTGCTGTGTTAATTTCCCCCTAAGTTACCTAATTTTCCTCTTTTCTCAGAAGGACGGACGCCAGGACTTCTCCACCAGACCTCACGAGATGCAGATGACTGCAGATAACCCTCTCGGCATCTTAACCTGGGTTGTGATAGAAGTGTTTTTTTTTATCTCAAACACATGCAGCATGTTTGTGTGAACTACCGTCTTGTTTGGTGGCCTTGAATCACTCCATCATGCCGACATTTGAGTGGGATGGAAGTGATAGTAATTGTGAGAAGCAGGCTTGTGACAGGAAGGCCACCTGTCTGATATCCTGTTTGCTTGTTTGAGTGTTTTGTTCTATTTCAATTAGTCTTACAATTTGATTCTTCTAATTTTATCCTGTTTTGCACATGATTTTCTTGTTGTAAATGTACAATAAAAAAAGCCTTCAGAGTGACTCCTTTGCACAGGTTGCTTACGTCTGTGGGTCGTGAGCCAAAGAATCAAAGTGATTTTCTTTAAAGATTATTTTCCTTTAACAGTTTGAGAAGGCAGAGGAGGCGGTAGTGTCCAAGCAATACAATCGTGCTATTTTATTGTTTTTATGTGTTATATCAGAGTATTTTTCCATTTCTGTCTATTAATGCCTATTTTATTAAATAACTGAAATACATTAAATTTATTATTAATCATTTATACTTATATAAAGATAATTAGTTCACACAGGTGGAATTTCTTGACTGGATTTCTGGGTTGCCTCTGCATAAACATTTTCTTCTTTGTATTTGTTTCATTAAAATACTTTTCTGTTTTCCTCTTTACCTGCCTCTGTGCATCTTCAACATACTACCTGAGACCAGTGCAGTTACATCTAATCTTATCCTAACATTTTTCACTGTCTCACAAACATCAAATAAACCTACATGAGAGAATGAAGAATATAAAGTCAGAGGTCTACTATTTTAACTTCCTTTGCTCCACACTGCAGCTTTGTTCAACCACTAAGTTATCTCCGTGTAAACTTCAGGGACAGATAACATTCCTATCTCTTCATTTCTTTTAAAATAAAGATCAGAGCCATAGTGTGACAAGTTGAAATATGCACTGCTACTGCAGAAATATCACACTGTTAATTCATGATTTATAATTTTTTAAAAAAAGTTTAAAAATGGTTAAAAGTATGTTTAAGCTGTGTTCTCAGTGTGTTGTTAAGTGGCCGTCAGTCTGGGATCGATTGCTTTTGCAGTTTGTCACTACGAGAATCAGTGGCGCGTCCCTCATTCCAGTAAAGTCACTCACTGAGGAAACGCCACTTGATCACTGTTGTGATTATTTCTTCTGTATTTATCAGCCACCCCTATTCAGGGGCGCAACAATAGCGTGTAGGCTCGATCTTGAAATGATAATAAGAAATGAGCATGTGAACTGTGTGTTTCTCGTGTCTCCACTAAGAGGCACTATTGCCTCAATAATCAGCTGCACCATTCAAACCTGATCTCAATGAGTCCAAACTTTCACTGTTTTCTGAAATATGTCAAACTTGGACCCAAGCTGTTTCCTAGCAACGCAATTCAGCGGAGGGCGCTTTATCTAACAATGCTTGTTACGGAATGAATGCATTATGCAAATGTATTTTTTAATCAAGGCAATGAATAAGACTGAGGACAAAAACTTTCAGACGTGGGGGAGCGGGACACCTGAGCAGAGAGCATGGCATTATTTCACCCCACATGGCTGATGTAAAATGAGCACCTTACTGTCCAACAAAGTTTGTATCACATTTAATACACTCAGTGTCAAACCATGTATGTATGTATGAGGCCTTTAATAAGAGCGCTTTCTAACCGTGGATGTGTATCTCACCCAAATCTTATCAAGAACAAATTTGCTATAAGTCTCTTTTTCTGCAAAACTTCACCAAGAGCCACCTGCGCGTGAACATTTTTGAGAAACATAATTAGGTGCTGCAACTTTGGGTGTGCAGGAAATATCTCAGACTTCCTCTTCGTGTAACTAAGCTACCTACAGGAAGCATAACCCACTTCAATAAGTATGACAAAGCACAGTCGCAGATTTGCACACAGGCAGACTAACTAAGAGCTTGATCACAACTGCTAGGCTATGAAGAGAGCGTACATCTGAAGCAGGCTCAGGATGAGGTATTCCCTGCACTCCCTTTGGAGGGCCAATTTGCTCCTCTGTCTGGCTTTACTTGTGCATCATGGTAAGTACTAGATTTCATTCCTGGAATTGCATTGGATTCTTGTGGGTGATTATGCTCAGTGAAACTATGGTAGAATATTAGCTACTTACTTACTTTGCAAACTACATGATCTTGTTAAAAAGAACAGAAAAGTAAGGAGTAATAAGCAAAGCCATAAGATTGGTGCTGTTGAGTGAATTTTAAGTAGAACTTACTTGTTTCAACAATTAATTAAGTTACTTAGAGAGTGTCAATCCTGAATATGTCACCAATATATACAAATAAATCAAACATCTATTAATAAATATGCTTATTAAACTCAATGTGTCTAACAAATCTTAAACACTGTCTGTGCTTTTGGCAACTTATTTTCAAACATTTTCAAAATTGCATTCAGTAGAAACTTCTGAGATTAAACTCGATGATTCACAAATGATAATTCTCCTTTGGTATTCCTTTCTTGTTTTTAATAACAATTTAATTGATGTAGGCAAACAAATTGCCTCGTTAATCACTTTCATGGCAAATCTGCAATTACTGCTCGCTTTCTGTGGGATGAAATCAGTTCCCTGTAACAAACCATGGAAACGTGAAGGTTTATATTTATTTCATTGTGCTGCAACAGCCTAGAGACTGTTAGAGATGCAACACTGAGACTAAAGTTAGCAACCGAAAAACATCACTGACACGTGAAGTTGCGGATTCAACATCTGTGTTTTGTCTGTTCTTCACTCAGGTGAAGCCGCGGTTCTCACTGAGGCACAGGCTGGACCTCTGTATCGCGTCGTTGGCTCTGAGCTCTCCATCTCCTGCCGTGTAAGTGGCTTCATCGATGAAGCCGCCACAAAACATTTTGAATACCGTGTTTTTAAGCCTGCAAAGCCAAATTTCGAGCTCAACATCATCAGCACCCAGGACCCAAGTTTTGGCTATGCTGTTTATCAAGAACGTGTAATGCAAGACGAAATCGCTCTGGAACGTACATCTCTAAACTCAGTCAAGTTTAAGATACAAAGCCTACGGAAAGATGATGAAGGGGACTATGAATGCACTGCAGTTAACTTAGAAAGTGGCTATTATGGAGTCTACAGTGTTAAGACAACTGTTAAAGGTAATCAATTATTATTCTCAGTTTTAGAGTCTGCTTTTCATTGTATCTGTCATCACGTATTGTAATGTTAAAGATAAATGTTGAACCATGTGTGACTTCTCATTTCTCTGTCTCTGATGTGGTGCCACAGTGATTGACAACTCCCTGAGTGTTTCTTCACCTGACTCCACCTCACTGAGTTTTAACGAGGGTGAAGCTCTCACTTTAACTTGCCAAGCCGTCAGTACCACCATCCAGCACACCCATCTGTCCTTTGCCTGGTACCTCCATAAAGATGGAGAGTCCACCGCTCAACCTATCATTTCTCTGGACAAAGACTTCACACTGAAGCCAGGGCCGGGGTTTGGAGAGCGTTACCAAGCAGGACTCATAAGCTTAGATAAATTGGGAGAAACCTCGTACAGGCTAAAGATGGCTCAGCTTGAGGTGTCAGACCAAGGTAAGATCTACTGCCAGGCTCAGGAGTGGATCCAAGACCCTGATCGCTCCTGGTACTCCATCGCACAGAAGGAAGCCGAGAAAATTACCCTGAAAGTCAAAGCCAGAGGTTAGAACCAGCAACCATTTATTCAGTAACACTATATTAGCTGGCACATCTTATTGCTTGTCATCACATTCATCTTTGCTTTTGCTCTGCACGGTAACTGTGGCTTTCTGACAGGATGTGCGTGACTATTCTTTTGTCTCTGTGGTTTTATTTGTTGCCTTGAGTAGAAGTGGTGCCAGACACGACGTCTCTTGTGGTAAAAATGTCGGCCCAGCAGACAACCCTGCAGGAGGGGCAGGAGCTGATGCTGTCCTGCAGCATAGACACACAGAACTTGGAGGAAAGGTTCTTCTCTGTGGCTTTTCTTCGGGGAACTGTTGAGTTGGCCCGCCTCGGCCCGACAGGTGTTCTGTCTGTTGGGCCAGAATACAGCAGTCGAGAGAAAGAAGGGGACCTCAGAGCCACCCGTATAGGGAACAGAGATTACCGTCTCATCTTACAGCCTGTCAGAACCACTGACCAGGGGAAGTATGTTTGCAGAGCACAGCCTCAGAACAGAGGCCAGGATGGTGCCTTTACACAGGGAGCTTCCCAGGACTCCAACTCCCAGCTGGTCAGCATTTCAGCCCCAGGTGTGTCAAAGTGAGCCCATACTATCTGACACACACACACACACACACACACTGGCACACATTCAGGATTTATTGCCGTTCCTTTCACCATCTTGATTTTATGTCGCACAAACACAGCTTGAAGAAAGTTACTATAAAAAGTTCAAAGTTTCTATTAGTGTGAATTTTTCTATTTTTGTCTTCTCACACAAAGCCATGCCATCTGTCTGTTGCCTTATCTCGTCACAGAAAGTGGACTCTCAGTCAAAATGCAAGGCGCTGTAAATGTCACCGAAGGGGATATGCTGAGACTCTCCTGTAAAGTGGATGGGGTTAAAGGTCAGCTCTCTGTCACCTGGCAACGCAAATCATCATCCACACCATCGGCGCCGTTCACCAGTCTCATCAGTCTGAGTCAGGAGGGCGTTGTGGAGAAAGCGGAGGAGTTCATGAGTCGCAAAGTAAGATCGCTGCGTCCAGCAACGGACAACTTCATCTTGGAGCTTGATAAGGTCACACCCTCCGATTCAGGTGTCTACCAGTGTGCTGTGTCTGAATGGAAGGCCAACAGCAAGATTTACAGCCAGTCACAAGCTGCTTCTGTGGCAGTGACCCCCATAGGTAAGACACGTCTCTAAGACAGTCAGTCTGCGTTGTGCAAACCACTCTAGACAAATGATGAAACCTACATATTGTGCAACAGGTTCCTCAAGTGGTATGACTGTTCTGTACAAAAACATCATCATTAACGTCATTATTGTGAAACATCAGTGGGAAAACACTTTGTTTAGGTTTTGACTGACAACAGAGAAGGCTAAGATAAGAACTTTGGTTAACATGACATAGGTCTGCCAGTCTGTACACAAATCTATGCAACTGTTTAGGTCATAGTAAGATTAACTGGCAACTTGTGTCCAGATTTCTATGAAATATAACCTGGATATTCATTGTCCCCTGATGCTTTGACAATCCCTCTGATGCTAACTGTAGCCCCACTATCAGGTCAAACCTTCAATTTCCACACAAGAAATCTGATTAGAAGCAATTTACCCAGCAAATTCATGATCCCAAGATGATGTAGCGTTTTTCAGCACTGGAAAGGCTACATCTTCTTGGTGTGCTGCCGTCAGTCGAAGCATTAAGTGTGCACACAAGACATTTCAAAACTCAACAGACAGATTGCCATGATAATTGCACTTTCATGCTTCCAAGAGGAAAATTGCTATTGATTTCAATCAGCACAGACTTTGCATTTTTAGCTCAATCATGACTAAAACCTACGTCTTCAGAATGTTTTGTCTTCTAATACTCTTGTGTTGTTGGGTGTAAGCAATTATGATATCCTGGGTTCACTTCCAGGGCTTTAGACTTGAAATTCTAATAACATCAATTTGTTGAAATGACACAAAAGTAGACTCTTTGGAGTGTCTCACTGAATAAATTTGCATATGATTAGGGGAAAACAGATTTTCTCATTGTGCTAAAACTCCTAGTTCTTAAAGTTCTAAACCTTATATGAAGGCGAGTATGATGACACAGACAGACTTGATATTCAATGAATGAAAGGACATGTTCCATATACGCTGATGCTTCTAGTCATTTAACCTTTCCTATAAAGAAAGAAGTGATCTTAAGAAAAGATGTGCACACCAATAAGGGTAAGCATGAATGACAGAAAAAGCAAATCGTACTTTGGACGTGTCCTTTCTCACATCTCTTTTTTATTTTGAACAATCATGATTGCATGAAAACAATATAACCACCAACTTCTCCTTTTTTGCTTGCTGCTGCCGACCACTTCTTGTGTTTCAGAGTCGATGGTGAAAGTGTATCTGATAAGTCGGAGCAACAAAGCAACTGTAGGAGAAAATGTGGAGTTGATGTGCAGAGTCAAAGGGCCGCGCATGCCAATAACGCTGGCTTGGAGCCTGCAACGTGATGCCTCCAATGTTGATAACATCGTAACACTGTACTCCGACGGTGCCATCAGTTGGTTTGGAAACCAAGACCGCTACCAATTGAAAGTACAAAGCAATTCAAATGAAGTTGTTCACTATCTGCAAATCATCGGTGCCAGCCATAGAGAGGAAGGGAGCTACCAGTGCTCGGTGTCTATTGTCTACGAGAATGTACTCAAGAAGCTGAATCCATCCAATCCACTGGCTGTGAAGGTGCTGAACCCAGGTACTGCTTATATTTGTAATGATGGAGTTCATCTTCTGAGCATTTATTTTTTTAATGAAACTTAGTTGTCCTCTCCTCTCACCAAGAATTTTTGTTTCCTTCTTCTAGAAAGCAAGCTTACTCTGTCCTCCAGCCCCACCTTGACTGCAAATATCAACACTGACACGGAAATAAAATGCTCAGTTGTCTCAAATTCCTCTTCATCTTCTCACTATTCTGTCACCTGGCTGCTCCAGCAAGAAGCAGAAAATAAGACCATTGTGAGCTCAGACAGGAATGCCTTAGTGACATTTGGACCCAAGGTGGAGCTGAGCCACAGACAGCGCATCAGCATGAGGCGTTCTAAAGGACCGAGCTTTGAGTTGACCATTCGCCAGGCTAGAATCTCAGACAAAGGTTCATACATATGTGAGGTGGTGGAGTGGCTACAAGATCCTCGTGGTGATTGGTATAAAGTGTCCAAAGTGTCCAAAACTACAAAGCTAACAGTTACTGAGCCTGGTAAGTATGTTTTTAATTTTTAATTTTTACATTTTTTTTAATAAGCTCACTGAAAATGTTGATGCAACAAGTTGAATTAGCAAAATTCAGCTCATACCATTCAAAAAATAATAACAAAATGTCATCTTTTGATATGTTTCTTCCTCTCTTCTCTTCCCACTCTCATTCTCTAGCCAATGACCTTCGTTTAAATAAGACTGAGCCGCCGTTGGTTTACCGTGAAGGAGATGACGTAGAGCTCAAATGTAACATTATCTCAGGTGCATCCAGCGCTTCCTTTTTCTACAAAGTCACTTGGTTCTACACTGTGCACAGTTCTTCCACCACGAATACCTCTCTGGTCGAGCTGGACCACACAGGCCTGCTGAGTTACCCAGAGAACAAAGAACTCAGAGGCCTGCAAGCACGACTTTGTCTCCTCAGACCCACTAAGAGTAGCTTCTACCTAACAATTCAGAGGGCCCATGAAGGGGACAGCGGGGCCTACTGGTGCCAAGTGGAGCAATACCAGCTGGATAATGAAGGTCGCTGGCAGCAAAAGGCCTCTGACAGTGCTGGCCCCATCTCATTAAATGTAACTGTTGCAGGTACGATCTAATCTTTTAGAGCATTATGCAGGCAGCTTAATGTGGCATGTGTTTGCATGGGTGCTTCATTTTTGTATGGCTTGAATGTGCTGAAGTCACATGTTCAAACTTTTGGAAAGTCAGGCCATCAGTGTCCGACTGCATTTGTGCAAAGATAAGTTAACTAGCTATTAGCTGAGCTTTGCATTAACAGCAGAGCCATGAGAGTCATATTATCCATCCTCCCACTGTCCAAAGACATGCATGTCAGGTTATTAAGTGATTCTAAATTGAGTGTGAGCTGCGTGGTTGTCCATCTCTTTGTGTTCACTGTGCAATGAACTGGCAACCTGTCCAGCTGTACTTTGAGGATCAGCTGCCAATGTCTGCTGACGTCTACAGGATGAGGCGGTTATAGTGATTGGATAGTCATTTAGCTCTAACTATAGTCTAACTATATATTTTCATTTACAATTTATTAATAGTCAGTGCATTCAAAAAACCATGTGATGGTGTATATGTCTTCATGCATGTGTTTGTGAAACCAACCATACATGTAACTATTTCTCAGCAACAACGACCACTTCTCTTGGTCACGCTTCTCTTGCACACCATTTCCACCTCTCTCGTGGTGTTGATGCCATCTGCCATCTGTACTTTGTAATGTACATCGATCTTGCCTGCACCCTTTTACTGCGTCTTTTAGTGTTACAGATTTATTTTGCTGTGTTTTCTGTGTTCGCTCTTTGCAAAGACTCCTAATCTCTTCTTTGCCTCAGTTCCCTGATTTCTCCCTTGTGTTCCTAGGATTTTCATTAAAGTCTCATTGATTGGTTTGCCTTGTTAAACTAAAGTTTAATACAAATGTTTCTTGCTACCTGTGTGCTTTTTCACAGAGAAAAGTCTGTCCATTGCAAAGGAAGAAGTGGAGTTGAATCTAAGCATATCTGAGGATTTCACAATCCCTTGTCACATCGACAAACAATCTAGCAACGAATCAAAATTCCAGGTCACGTGGTTTTGGCAGAAAGCAACAGAAACTACACAACGCCCCATATTCACAGTTTACCGAAACTCTACCCTACAAGACTGGTTTGAGAAGGATGTTCAGCTAAGATTTAGCCACCCTGTAACTGGTCGGTTCAACCTTGCAGTCCTGAAGTCTGGTCCTGAAAATAGTGGCTTATATTTCTGTGAGGTAGAGGAGTGGATCCCATCACCGCCTCATGAGTGGAGAAAGTTTGCAGTGGAAAGGTCAGGGAACATGACTGTCAGCGTTATTACAGAAGGTAAGCACATCTTTATGTGATAATGTAATCTTTTAGTAAATATCAGAAGCAGAAAATGATGTGGAAATACATTTTTGTCTTTTTCTTTGCAGGAAATGTTCAAGCCCTGTCCGGATGCAATTCTAGTACCTGGATAGGGATTACAGTAGTGATTGTAATCGTCTCACTTTTGGTCATAATATTCCTGGTGCTGATGATACGCAAGAGTAAGGTCTCAGGAGGAAAGAAGGCGAAAGAGTCTCTCTGGGCTGAACAGTCTCTGACAGCCAAACCCAGTGTAGAAGACTGAACGTCCGACTTCAAGGAGAGCAGAGGAAAATCCTACTGTATTTTTTATGCAGTTTATGAAAAAAATGTTTTAGAATTGTAAAAGTTGCACTGTGCATTTATTTTATTTTTTTAAATCAGAGTTCAAGAACTCTTATTAATGACTCTTTTTGTAATGTTCCATAAAAATAGTTTAAATGTGTTACTTTCTGTGAAGCTGGGAATAATTTTTGCCTTCATGAATTACTGAAATTCATTACAGCTTTGAAATTAAACAGGCACTTTTCATTTTGCAGCTAAAACTTCTTTGCATAATCGCCAGCTTTTTACTGCCTGCAATGGACAGTCGAGCTCGGCAGCAGATCAACGCTGTGGCTTAACACCTACAAAGAAACATACTCTTATTACTGACAGATTCCTTTTCATGTAGCAACAGACAGAGCAGCCAGGTACTTTGTCTTTGATAGGGAGAAGTCAAAGCATAGCATGTCTGTGGGAGCGGCTCAATCCGAAATGCGGCAAGATGACGACCTTTTCTCCATAAGACAGCTATGAATCAAGCAGGAAGTGTGCTGTGGTTGGGCGCAGGACAGTTGCAAATGTGGTCTGCAGATCTGCTGAACAGCACTTGTGACATTTGTACAGACAGATTCGCTTTGTGAAGAGGATGCAGTCATGTAGTGGAAGTTACAATCTGTTAATGCAGGCATTATTTTTTGCTGTCATGACATAATTTTCTTGTTGAAGCTCAGACAGTGTTTGTGATGACGAGCACACGTCTCATTTACATATGATTCTGGATACACAGTTTCAATTATACATGAGACATGAAAGATGTTTGTGCAGTAGTGTGCTTCAGGGACTATGTGTGTGTGTGTGTGTGCGTGTGTGTATGTGTGTGTGTGTGTGGACATAAAGTTCATATGTAATACAACTCTGGAACTTTGCCGTGGCTCGACTCCAGCATATTTGATTTGAAATGCAACAATAACTGTAAAATTGAGTGTCATGGCTGTTCACATCCACAATGATTGAACAATGCACATTTTGCAGTGTTTTGACATCCTAAAAACCAGATTAAAGGTCTTCAGGATGTAAAAACTAAAGGTAAAGACCAGCAAAGATACCAAAAAATCTATTAATATCCATGAGTCGTACACATCACACAGACGTGACTTGTGAATGATTTGCAATCATAGAAAGTGTTATAATTACCATCAGCAGTGTAACTTGATCGCCCAGTGGTCAAAAATAAAAATGTGTCTCTGTCCAAATAAACACAGACTGCCTTGTATTTATTTGTGCATATGCAAACAAGATTCTGAATCTCTGCTATAAGTTGCTATGGAGTTGCTGCATTGAAAAAAAAAAATAAAAAAAAAAGATACCAGAGTGTAAACGAATCAAAATCAAGACGAATGTAGAGCCGCTCTTTCTCTCTCTTTCCCTCCCTATCCTGTCTCGTTTTCTCCCTGCATCAGCCATATCAATGTTTAACACCCCCATCTGTGTCAGAGGCTGGAGCAGAATCCAGTTCTTGCTTTTACTTTTGAGGAAAAAGGCCTAGACACCAGATTGCTCCCATACAGAGAGAGGTTCTTGTCTGATGACTTTATACCAGCTATGTACACCTTGAGGTAAAACTTACTGTTTTTCTGAAGGATATGTAAGACCAAAAGTACCACTAAGAAACTCTGAGACAGCTGTAGTCTCCTCAGCCCCAGAAGAGATGATGTAGTGCTACGTTTGGTCTTGAATTATACCAGCCCTTCACAGTCTGGTGGACTGACTCCCTCTTACAGGCTCCCTCTTAACTTTACTGTAATTCCACTCCCTTGTGTTTCCATGGCAATGCCTGTCAGAGCAAACAAAGAAACATTGAATTTGGGAGGCAAATCAATGCTTGTGTCTATGCAGCAAAGATTAAATGTAGCGGGGGCAAACCAGCGTCTGCAGCGGCAGCCGTGCTACAGCTCCCTCTTCATGCTCTTTGCCTTAACGAAGTCTCTAACATTAACATATTAAACAGTCATATCATCAATTTTTGTTTTGACAGTAGCGCTGCTGCATGCAGTGCATAGCGAAAAGTGGGATTTACAAGCCCACAGCTATAATCCTTCTCTTTTCTAAACCCATAGGTGCTTGACTGCTGGATACTTTGAGCTGGTTATCTCTGTTGCTGTGGTCTTGTTCCAGATCTGATTTGGCATCAGCTTGATGCTCTACCCCTCATGTGTCATGAAGGGACTAGATTTCAGGAAAACTGTGTAACCATTCTTCTATAACATCTTCAACTGCAGAAGCAACAGTTCTGTTGTAAACACACACAAACGTGTAAACGCTGCTGTGAAAGCTATACCACACAAATGTAAATGAGTAATGCCACTGCAGTATACCTATATGGGATTAAAGTAAAAGCTACCTCTTTATTGGCAATGAAACTGAAAGGGGATTACTCATGCGAAAGCAAAAGCAAGAATAAAATATGCATACCTGCAGACGTTGATAATGGGTACATTTCTTTTAGGTATGTGAGCTGTCTGTCTGGTTTCTAACACACCTATGTGGCACAGCTCCAAACTGAATAGAACTGTTTTCACTTGTGCTTCTGGTGCTCCCCTGACTTTTCCTTGAGCGCCACCTTGAGGACACTTTTGGTATGTGTGAAATGTCAGTTATTAGAGGGATTGTTAGGAATTTGGTGCAGAAATTCATGATGTCCAGAGGATGAATTCTGATGGTGATCCCTTGACTTTTCATCTAATACTGCCAACATGGCAAAATATTTGCTCACTGAGTGAAATAGTTCAACTTTTGCGCATTAGTAAAACTATACAAGGGTACTTCAACAATTCTCGGCCTACAAGGGTCGTGACTCCCACTTTGGGACATAACTGTATACTATAAAACCCTTTTATAACTGTCTGAAAAAACTCGAAAGTTTGTTGTTCATTTGCAAGGACATGAAAGCTTTGTGTTTGTATACTGTTGCTCCAGGACAATGTGCCCGCACAAGAAGCAGACGTACCCAAATGTGGCTTTGACCTGTTGCCCCATGCACATTACTGCTTGACCTGCACCAGCTCACTTCTATCTGTTTCCCAAACTAATCTAACTTGCAGGATCACCAGTTTCAGATTGATAAAAAAAGACATGTATGCTATTGAGGAGTATCTGGAGGGTCGAGATGTGACCTTCTTCTGCAAAGGTCACCTCTTGGTCGACAAATTTGTTTGAAGTTAAAGGAGATCACATTGAAAAATAATGCAAACATAATCTTTCTTCTGCAGGGCTCCAGACTAACTTTTTCACTGGTGGCACTGGTGTGACCATCTTTCTTATTTAGCCGCACCTCCCACCTTGTCACAGGCAAAAACACATCACTTGTTGAACATCTGCTTATTGATAGAAAACTTACAGATGTTCGCTAAACGTCCCACATTGCAGGTTGTGGTATCTGCCGCTTGGTGGCTGCGGTGCTCAGACAGGCGTGTGAAAATAGTTAAACTGGACCATTCTCGTGTCAGATTTGTCTGAGATGAAACCAAGTATTGTTTTTTTGTACGATGCTCATAGAAAATGCAGGTGCGCTCCACATTTCACGAGAAGACCTAATTTTCAAGTGTAAATACCACAGTCCACCAAACTTATAAAAGTGCTGCTTTCCACTGCTGTGGTTAACTCAGTAGCTGCCTGCGCCAGTTACAGTGACACCAAAACAGCTTAATGACCATCATGCACTCACACAAATGCAGCCAGTCGAAATTTCAACTTGCATACTCTCAAAAAATAGTTCCAAAAGCGACCAAAATAATCGCAGTCTGGAGCCCTGTTCTGTGATGTTTTCTGGTGGGACCAAGAACTTTTTTGAAGTACTCTTTACAGACACTGATGGTTTCCAGTAGAATAATAAACCGATTTTTATAAACTCCTCTTCTTGTACCACCATGAGGCCATACAGGGAGGGAGTACAGTCTTAACTGCTTGCTAATTTGCTATAAACTTTGCCGCAGACATTTATGACTTTGGAGATCCCTCGAGTTTAAGTTTAGCACCATCATCAAATCAAAATGTGTATAAAAAGGTGTCCAATGCTACAATCCTGCAAGAAAAGACATTCGTATTGGTGCGGAATAGAAAATACACCACACTAAGACTGAGACAGTGAACAGGTGAAGCTTCAAATCTATTAAAACAACAGAATTTAAGTGTTTCATGTTAGAATACAGTTGTGTAAGAGGTGGTGTTTATGTGAGTTTAACAGTGCCCTATCAAAGTCATTTTATGAATCCTCGCACACACACATACACACACACACAATTGGCAAACAGCAGAAGTGATCAAAGTTAGCCCTAAAACACCCTCCTGAACAAGAGCATAATGTGTCCTGGCAGAAGTAAGGGTATAACATAGGGGGGAGAGAGACACTCAAACTGCCATCTGCGCGAATTACGTAACGTCTCTCCTAAAATCTGAAAGTCTCATCTGAAGCACTGCCTCCTCTCACCTCGACTCACTGAATCTCTTTGCTTATACCCTCAACTCCTCCCTACTCCCTCATGGCTCTGTCTCGCCTTTGATATTCCCTTTTCTCACAAGGAGAGGACACAGCCTGACAGAACTGCCTTCTGTTTCCAGTCTGAACCAAAAGCAACATGGTTTTACCGTTTCTCTCTCTCTCTCTCTCTCTCAGGCTTGTCATTTGTCAGCACCAGAGGGAGCTATTGTTACCCCCCAAAAAAACGACAGACATGCGGCGGTCAATTGGTTCCCATAGTGAAGAGGGAGTTTAAGTGCTTCCCAGCTTGTCATTGCAGCACCCAATCTGAAAATCGAAGACTTTGAAGCCATCGAGGAGCTTTCTCTCCCTTCTCTTGTTGATGTGAGGTCTCTTGGTGAGCAAGTGTTTGTATGTGTGGGAGAGTAGAGGTAAGAAAAAAAAAATGCCTACAAAGTTGGATAGAGACGTACAGGTGGAGACTGGAAGTCAGTGTGATGTCTCTAAGGGTGTGGGGGTGTGATGACACCTCAGGCTGAACATTGTCATCGACAATAGCAGCGTTTGAGAACACCGTAGCGCACTGTGCGTGAGTGGCAGGCCTGTTCACGCAAACACACACAGAGAATTACCTCATTTATCCAACCCCACACAACAACACACAAATATATGGACACATAAACTATATACAACACTCTAAACTGTTAAGGGCTGTCTGCCTTTTCTTGTTGAGGCCTGATTATTATCCCCAGAGACCGCGCCGGCTGGTAGAAGGAGCTGGAGAGTCCAAAATAAAAACAGCTTAAATGGTGCAATATGAAGTAATAGCCTGTTCTGCTCTCTGTCAAGGGAGCTCTCAACAAACTCAGAGCTCACTTTTTTTTTTCCCCCTTCTCTTTCACAGCTGTACTCTCACATACTGGAACTGCATGAATGAATACCCCAAAGCTGCCTTATTTATGTACCTCCTGTTAAGCTAATGTAACGTACCAGTTTGTATGCACGTGTCTTTCATGTCTGCGGTGCTGTCTACATGCGTATGTGCATATGGTGTCACTGAAACCTTTAATCATGTTTGCAGTATGCTGTGCCTCCCGTGAGAGAAGCTCCAGCGAAACCGATGATGACATGTTCAGATTCCATTATAAACACACCATGAAGCGTGTATTGATTCATGTGTCAAAATACATCTTCGCTTTTGTGTAGGCCGATTTTTAAAAATTTTGTTGCTTTTTTTTTCAGGTTTTTTTTTTTGCGGCACATGAATTAAACAATGAATCTTAACCGACTCTCAGTTTAGCATATTTCTCCTTTGCCATTCCGTCTCGCCTACTCTCCACAGACCACTCCGCTTAATAAGGCAGCAAAGATGTTTCTATCCCACTGACAAACAAGAAATAGATTTGCTGTTTTGGGATTAAATGCAGCATACTTTCCAGAGCTGATAAAATGATAACACTCGTCCTGTCAGTACTTCTTTATAAGAATGCAGGGGTTTTACTATGAGACTATTGCCTTTTTATGGTATGTGCTATTCCTGATCGCTCATGTCATTATTCATACTACGATCATTCAAAAATGATTGGGCTTCTATTACAAAGGCATACCACTGACGGCAACATATGACAAGTGTGAATCGCTGATGACACATTCAACCAACATGGTAGGAGTCACCATGCAATATGAATCAAGCATCACCAAGGAGACAGAAGTAACAAAGAGTCTGATGTCAGCTCGAGCAGCACTTTTTTTTTTTTTTTTAATTTAGCACAACTGTGAT